CCTGAGCGGTATGACGGCTGCATGGTCCCATGGTGTTTATACTTGCGTACTATTGTTTGTACAGATGAACGTGGTACCTTCAGGCGTTTGAAAATGAACCAGACTTGTGGAGGTCTACAAAAAAAATTTCTGAGGTCTTGGCTGATTACTTTTGATTTTCCCATGATGTCAAGCAAAGAGGCACTGAGTTTTAAGGTTGGCCTTGAAATACATCCACAGGTACACCTCCAATTGACACAAATGATGTCAATTAGCCTATCAGAAGCTTCTAAAGCCATGACATCATTTTCTGGAATTTTCCAAGTCTTTTAAAGTTACAGTCAACTTAGTGTATGTAAACTTCTGACCCACTGGAATTGTGATACAGTGAATTATAAGTGAAATAATCTGTCTGTAAACAATTGTTGAATAAATTACTTTTGTCATGCACAAAATAGATGTCCTAACCGACTTGCCAAAACTATAGTTTGTTAACAAGAAATGTGTGGAGTGGTTGAAAAACAAGTTTTAATGACTCCAACCTAAGTGTATGTAAACTTTCGACTTCAACTGTATATCACCAGTAGTACATTTACCATTAATTCCTATAATTTCTAATCTACAATGTTTGTTACTTTGTTTACGGTCATTTATTTTAATGCATTCAATATTATTATTCCAGGCTTCCTGTTCTCATTGTCGGAGTGGACACATTGTTTGCAGAGTGCACAACCTATGCTACACTTGTGAGAAACAAGTTGTGGTTTATTTAATTCCATTTAAGAGTTCTATCAATTTAGTCATTGTCTTTTGTTTGGAGCGATCCTGTCAATGTTGAGTAAGGACGCGCACGCATAGAAGTAGGCTTATAGGCTACATGGCCTGCGCGCAAATGTAGGCACTAAATGTGTCCATTTGGGGGTCTGATAGTATTTCTGATTGGCTTAAAGCACCACTCACCACTAATGACCTGTGGAGCTTCTCAAAGTAATGTTTTCTTTATCTCAAACAGCAAGCAAACAAAATCTTGACATCCATTGAGAATTCCAATAGTTCAATGTATTTGAAAACTCTTTCCAGCTCTCTCCCTTTAATAACCACTCAGCGTGAAAAGGAAAAATGTAATGCTCTGATCCAGTGGAAACGTCATAAAATAGGCTTCTTATCAGTGCTTGACTTGGACTGAAATAGTTCCAGGACTCATTTTGGGTGCTGGTACTGTTTATATTTAGGTGCAGGAGCTCCACAATACCTTTTGAGCTAATATTCTATAAGAGGAACAAGAGCTCAAGCAGTAGAACATTTGAGGTGGCGGCACTCAGTTCTGGTGAGCTCCTGCCCAAGTCAAGCACTGCTTCATATCCCTTGCACAAGTAGCCTACAGCTGTGTCTGTCCCAAGCTCACTGGTGCAGGAAACTCTGAGGGCCCAGAATATTTTATACAATGTTTCTAGTTTTGGGCCAGACCCAAGTTAATAGTTGATACAATGTTTCAAGTTTGTTGCAGACAGGCCAATGTGATTCATAGGATATTAATTTTTATCAGGATATTTTCTACCTGCAGGCTGCAAGGTTTTTATTTGTTGGCTTTATGTAGGCTATTTTTACATTGTTGGCAATTTCAATAGAAGTAGCTTTTTAGGTTTGTATAATTTTCATTTAGATTTGGATAACATTTTGATTAACCAAATGACAATGATTTTGAGATATGAAGACGTTATGGTAAATTAAATTAAACTGTTTCACGAAAATGTGCATATGAAAACCGTAACCGGCACGCAGATTGGTAGAAATGGTAAGATAAAATAGCATTCCACATGAGAAATGTTGCAGCCTCCTCGTGTAGCCTATTACTTCAGGAGAGTAATGGCAGAATCTGCGAAAGCCAGCAGGAGCGGGAGGAGAATAGTTGGGTCAGGTTAAGGTTTTTTTCTTCTAGTTATCTATATCTCTGGCGCCCTCTTGAGTTATCAAACCATAAGATTAAAGCATCAGACAAGCTCAATGCATATAATTGATTAAAATATATAGGGTGTGTCTATATATGGAAAAATATGTTTAAAAGTTTTGAGCAATCGATTGGTCGAAAGAAGAGTGAACTTTCGGTCGACCAAGCTTTTTTTTATTTTATTTTTATTTTTTTTATCGGGGACAGCCCTAATCTGCACATCTAAAATCCTACTGTGTGGATGGGACATTTCTGCTGGGATGGAGGAATTTTCTGGAATGCTCAACTAGATGATCAGGACAGTCTAGGGTACTATTTGCCCGAAGAGGGGAAGTATTGCGAAGAGCTATACGACTGTACTTCTGATTCTAATTCTCAAGAGGAATGTTAAAACCCTTAGCCATGAGGTCACTGAGGAGGACCAACAGTGATAGGGGGATCGTCTGAAAGGGACTGATACGCAGGGATGTAAAAAGGATTTTGGGCACTGGCCAGCAGAACACGATTTCTACATTCAGGTCCTAAATCTGTGGCATGCAATGTTTGTAAAGGCAACATTTCACTGCTGTGTCAGGCTAGTTTGGCACATTGTCTACTAGCCCAGTCTGAAAAGTACTAGCCTTGGGCTAGCTTAATTTCCATCCCTGCTGACATGTATAACTGACTATACAGGTCACTTGATTAGTCATGTACAACAGATGCACTCGTGGAACAAAACAGTTTCTGTGTTTTATACGGGGAAAACATTGAGCCCTTTGTGAGCTAGCTAGCCAACTTTAGCTAATGTAGATAACTAGCCAACCAAGGTGCCTAACTAGCTCACCCACAAGGCGATATTTAGCTAGCTAGTTAACATTAGCTCACTGTTCGTGTAGTGAGACTTTTCTAAGTGGTGACATGCTAGCTAACCAACTATCCTTGCCATGGTGCCGGTCTAACGTTAGCTAGCAAGTCTGACTGCACGAACTTGAACGAGTGAGTTAACATTAACTAGCTAGCTAAATATCCCTTTCCTGGTGAGCTAACGATATCTAGCCTGTCACCACGTGAAAAAGTATGACTACACAAACCCTGAGCTAATGTTAACTAGCTGGCTAGCTCACTAAAGACGTCAATAAAAAGGTCACAACAGTCATTATGGTTATTTTTACTTGTAAGGAAGGTAACGTGTGTTGTACACATAACAACAGTCGGTGGGTATCTAGTTAATTTTCATAAACACCTAGCTAACCACATATATTTGACCTAACAAAAATTGCTTGTTAGCAGCTAGCAAACAGGGCTTACCTTATCACACGACTCCAGCAACCCCTCTCGGTTACAGAGGTCGGAAAACTATAAAATGCACATGTGCTTATCGGAGTAGTGGTTATAATCAGGTACATAGCACAGAACCATCCTTGCTTCTGATCGACGGAGAGACCAGTTAGCCTAAGGTTAGCTAGTTCGCTACAAAAGGCCAGAGGGTAATTTTACAAATTAAAGTAATACAAAAATGCTACGGTAGCTTGCTAGGTCATTTGAAATATGCTAAACAAGAATACACACGAGAAATACACTATATCAATTATTTACATGATAAACTGAAAAGGCTATTATATCTACTTGCTAGGTTACTTGCTACTTGTCGATGAGTTTGCATTGAGAAATGTGCCTTGAGGGATGACATCAAAGCTTGCGACAAGATGTGTAGTTCTGTATGATAGCCACATTAGCGTCTAATTAGCATTTCGTTTTGGGGGGTTAATTACAGGCGAATATATTGACAAGTTACCTTGTCCAAGAGAGATTTACACGGTTATCAAAACATCACGCCAGGGTAAGCCTACACGAAACACAGACCTTAAATGAAGTAGTTCTAAAATCCCTGACTCAAAAATTAATGGTGAAAAAACAATTGGAAAACTTTCTGGGTTTTACTGCTAGATTTGATGGGTATTATGACTCATACTGTGGTACTCAATGAAGAAGAAGAAAAATGGACTACTTTAAAATGGAGACAGCCTCAATGCCCATGACGTCACAGACGCTATAGTGGCACAGACGTATCTGCCCTCTTGTTGGCTAGAATGGTCCCACCTGATCTCGCCTCCTCCCCCCCTGCTTTCCATCTTTGAGGAAATGTATTGCCATTGTTAGAGCGGTCACTTTCCCTACCAGAAAACACGTGTTACCTCAAAGTGTTGTGTATGTACGCATCCAAATTCAGGAGGGAAATAAGGCGCGAATGTTTTTAGTTATAAAAAATATATAAAAAATATTAGCAACAAATCAATACAAAAAGAACATGGGGGAACACAAGTATATGTAAAGAATATACAAAGGACAATTGGGCTAGGGGTTACAATATAACATTACAGGAGAACCTTAAGGGACATACACACATTTATAATTCTAACAGCTTTTTTGTTGGTAGAGTATTTAAATGTCTTAAAATATAGTTCAATTTAAATAATTTAAATTTACATAAGGCGCTGATGGTTTGACTGCTTTTTGCGAGGAAGTGACGCACTTTGATATGAAATGTTGACAGGGAGATGAGAGATGTCAAATTAAAGGCAATTAGTTAATCAACTGAATCACATTTCAATTAGTTAAAGAAGCTTATGAACTGATTGGAATTCACCAGAATGTATCCATTGGACATGCACGGTGGACAGCTACCAGGCAGGAGATGGTTGGTTGGCCAATGAAACAGTAAACAATAAAGTTTTTTCTTTTTAAACGGAAGTGGAGATTTTAAACACGGCGTCATCACAGAGTTTCTAAACCCAGAGGCGCAACATCGCGAGACCTCCGGGAACGCTTGTGAAACAGACCAAGCAGACGAGGCGGGGTTTGGGGTTTGAGAAGTAATAATAATATGCCATTTAGCAGACGCTTTTATCCAAAGCGACTTACAGTCATGCGTGCATAATTTTTTTGTGTATGGGTCAATGAGAGAAGTGGAAAGTAGTAGTTGAATATGTTATTACTCCAACCGCGTGAAAGTAACAAACTGAAACGTTATCATTTTCGTCAAAAATTACTTTATATCGAAAGAGTCCCTTTTGATTTGACGGCATGCACATGCGTAGTTTGGCGCGAGTCGATCGTTTGACCCAATGACGTGTTTCTGCGCATGAGTTTAGCTAGCCAAAGTCGCCATGACATCGCCTACATGTGTGATCAGGGATTTTTATTGGAGAAGCAGTTTCTGCTCTCTTCACTGTACGGTCTTTGACTGCATCCTGTGGGCACAGAACAACGTGATAACGTTTTAAACATGAATACATTTTGCTTTGCAAACCTATTTCTGAATTGAATCAAGTGGATTTCGATCTACCGAGTTTAGTCAAGGAATACCAACCAAAGGTGAGAAACCTTGTTTGAAAAAGTATTTATGTTAAATCTAGTTGGCGTGCGGACCACGTTGGGTATGCTAGTTTAGTTAGCCATTTTCAATGCTATACTCCTGCTTTTCCATCTCAATAAAGTGATCGAAGAAAGAGGTTACTTCCATACGTTAAGTGTGTGTAGACGCTAGTGGGTAGTTAACCCAGGCATAATCAGTTCTAAGCTGTCTGATGTTGCAGACTTAAATTGTTAATACTTAGGTAGCTAGCACATGCTGCTCTGCATACAACAGTGCTGACGTTTGTAGCTAGTGTTTCTGCCTGCTCAGTTTTAGATTAGGTTTATTTCAGTGTTCATATTTAATGTGTTCCTCACATCAATTAGGTGGGCTCAAACTATCCGAAGATTGAGAGGAGCCTTATCAACATCCTGAAATGGCTTCATTCAAACCCACAAAAATCCCAATATATCCCAAACTTGGAGAGAAAGTTACTCCGGACACATTGTATTGGAAAAATTACAAGGTAAGCCTGTCACACTGTCGATGTAAGTGGTGTTGGTGGCTGCATGAGTATACTAGCTATAACATTTCCATATTGCAGTAACAAGGCAATAATAGCATACTATTGAACTGATGAAGTTGACTTGTCTTCGATTGTATTCTCTCAACTCTTCTCTGTTGCTTGTTTTCAGGCCCCAGTCCAGATAAAGGAGTTTGGAGCAGTCACAAGCATTGACTTCTCCCCTCTGGCGCCACACAATTATGCAGTGACCGCTTCTACACGGGTAGGCTGGCCCCACTGCCGTTCAGACACATTAGTAGTTAGTAGACTTGGACTCAATGGTGGTTAATTTAGGTTCTGACCTATATCCGTTCATTAAATCAATGACGACAATGGCATATAAAGTAATTCCTTCTGTGATCCATCGACTGAACTACAAATGATGATCTAAACATTTCTGACCATAGCCTCTACGAGCCATCGTAAACAATCATACAGTCTTGATAGTGTTGGTTTGCCATCTACATAAGCTGAAAGTGTGTGTGTCCCTCACTCTAAACCCGCTGCCTGTTTCAGATCCACATCTACGGACCGTTTTCTCAGGAGCCAGTCAAGACGTTTACGCGCTTCAAGGACACGGCGTACAGCGGAAAGTTCCGGTCAGACGGTCAGCTCTTGGTGGCAGGATGTGAGGACTCAGTGGTGCGGCTCTTTGACGTTAGCGGCAAGGTGGCGCTCAGGGTGTTCAAAGGGCACACAAAGTAGGTCCTCAATTCAACGTCACCAGGTTTCCAAAGTCTGATAGGAAATAATTAGGGGACGTTTTCCAATCAGTGGGCGAAAATAAAATGGCTAAGCGCAGCAGCAGGCCCATTGAATGATGATTCCTTGAGTGATCCATCGACTGAACTAAAAATGATGGTCTCAACGACTCTGACAACAGCCTTTGACAAGTGTCTTGTGTGGATGTTTTGGATCCCATTTTTCATTCCTTATTACTGTGCAGATAACACCTCTGGTGTTCTTTACTACAATAATTAACTGAACTGTGTCTCTCCTCAAGGGGGGTGCATGTAACAGATTTCACCTCAGACTGTTACCACATCCTGACGGGCTCAGACGACTACACCTGTCGCCTGTGGGACATCCCCAATTCCACTGAACTGACCTCATACAAGGAACACACAGACTATATCCGCTGTGGCACCACCAGCAAACTCAACAGAGATATCTTCATAACTGGTGAAATTAAGCACAGTTACTCATACAAAGACATGTTGTGTGATGATTCCTTGAGTGATCCATCGACGGAAGTACAAATAATGATTTCTGACAACAGCCTCTACCAGCTATCGTAAAGGGATAGTTTGGGATTTTATCTACTTCCCCAGAGTCAGATGAACTGGTGGATACAATTTTTATGTCTGAGTTAAGTTTTAAGGAAGTTGGCAACTAGCATTAGCGCAATTGCTAACTAGCGTTGGAGTAATGACGAAGTCTATGGGAAGACCTAGCATGCTAGCTGTTTCTGTAGACCAGAGGCATTGCGCTAATGCTAGTTAGCATTAGCTTGTGAAACTATCTCTTAGTTCCTTCATACTGGACGCAGACATAAAAATGGTATCCACAAGGTCTTCTGACTCTGAGGAAGTAGATAAAGGGCTTCATTGCCAAAATCCCGAACTATCCCTTTAAACAGTCACACATTCTTGATAGTGTTGGTTTGTCATCTACACACAAGCTGAAAGTTTGTTGTTTGTTTCACTCTGTACTGTCTCTGTCCCCCACCTTCAGGCTCCTATGACCACACACTGAGGGTGTTTGATGCCAGAGTGGAAAAGAGTGTGATGACCATGGACCACAGCCAGCCTGTAGAGAGCGTTCTACTCTACCCCTCAGAAGGACTACTGGTTTCAGCAGGTAAGCTGTAACCGCAGAGATGCATAACCATAATATTATACTGTGATCGTGAGTTACATAAGCATTTGTGGTCCTCAAGATGAAGACCAGACACCACACTGGTATGGTTGTGTCCCAATAGTAGCGGCCTTACTTGATCTCCTTTACCAACATGGTCTCAGAGCATGTTGTATTATTTTGTATGTAAATCCAAGACACTCCATTTAGTATGGTATGATATGTATACGTTTTTGGATGTCCATCACCCATTTCGTATGATCTGTTACGAATTACAATTTGTATTATAGGTTACGAATTTGCAAAACGTATGATATGTTAGTCCCCTGTAGCTCAGTTGGTAGAGCTTGGCGCTTGCAACGGCAGGGTTGTGGGTTCGTTTCCCATGGGGGGCCAGTATGAAAATGTATGCACTCACTAACTGTAAGTCGCTCTGGATAAGAGCGTCTGCTAAATGACTAAAATGTAAATGTAATGTTACGAATTCTGGCTAGGTGGCTAACATTAGCTAGCTGTCTAACGTTGGCTAAACTAGGGGTTAGGGTTAAGTTTAGGAGTTAGGTTAAAAGGGAAGGGTTAGCTAACATACTAAGTAGTTGCAATGTTGCAAAAAAGTAGTAAGTAAATAGCAAAAATGCTAAAGTTGTCCGTGATGAGATTCGAACTCGCAACCTTTGGGTTGCTAGAGTTTCGCGTTATATGCCCACCCATCCACCCCGACCAGAGATCAATGAGTCAATCTCAACGTGACTTCCCTGGTTAAATAAAGGATAAATTGTTCAATAAGGGTGCACTTGTCAATTTAATTTAATTTTATCATGCAGTGCTAGCTGTGCCACTAGAGATCCTGGTTCGAATCCAGGCTCTGTCGTAGCCGGCCGCGACCGGGAGACGCATGGGGCGGCACACAATTGGCCCAGCGTCCTCCAGGGTAGGGGAGGGAATGGCTGGCAGGGATGTAGCTCAGTTGGTAGAGCATTTTCCCATGGGGGGCCAGTATAAAAAAAAAAAAATGATGTATGCACTCACTAACTGTAAGTCGCTCTGGATAAGAGCGTCTGCTAAATGACTAAAATGTAAATGTAAAATGCCATCCCCCTCAAACGATAAATATGTGTATCTTTGAAATTGACCTCATACCTGTGCCCCTCCGTTATTTGTTGTTGTGCTTGTCGCATCTGTGCTGATGGAGGAAAGGACCGTTTATACCAGATTGTTGTCTTCCCCCACACAGGAGGGCGCTATGTGAAGGTGTGGGACCTTCTGAAAGGAGGCCAGCCTCTGGTGTCACTGAAGAACCACCACAAGACCGTCACCTGCCTCGGTCTCAGCGGCAACGGACAGAGACTGCTCTCTGCCTCACTCGACAGGTGTGTGTGTGTGTGAGCAGCTCTAGACAGACGGCAATCTGCGTACCTGGACAGATTTGTGTGTATTGCAGCAGGCATGTTAATTCCTTGAGTGATCCATCGACTGAACTACAAATGAGCTCTTCAACTCTGACACAGCCTCTGACAAACATATCATATTTTATTAACAAGATGGTTATTTTAACGGCACAATTGGTATGTTTTGATGGATCTCTTGATTAGATGAATATGCATTTTTTTTTTTTTTTTACCCTCCAGGCACGTGAAAGTCTACAACACAACCAACTACAAGGTGGTTCATAACTTTGACTACGCCGCCTCCATTCTCAGTCTTGCCCTGGCTGTAAGTTCACTAGTAATGCCATACTGAGATTTAGCAATCCGCTATTATGATGATGTTTGATGTGTGGATTGTGTATGGATTGTGTATGAAGGCTTGAAAGTTTCTGTGTGTGTATGTTTAGCCTGATGACGAGTCTGTTGTCGTGGGGATGACCAATGGCGTCCTGAGCATCAAACACAGGAAGAGCCCTGAGGAGAAACAGGAAGTGGCTGGCAAACAGAGGAGGAGGCCGGTGTACCGCATCTTTGTCAAAGGAAGAAACTACGTCCCGAAAAAGGCAAGTGCATATTCCCCCAACTGTTTTATTCTACTACATTTACATTTTAGTCATTTAGCAGACGCTCTTATCCAGAGCGACTTACAGTTAGTGAGTGCATACATTTTCATACTGGCCCCCCGTGGGAAATGAACCCACAACCCTGGCGTTGCAAGCGCCATGCTCTACCAACTGAGCTACACGGGGCCCCAAAGAACAATTCTACAACAAAGAACAATTCTCACTATTGTATAAATGTTTGCAGGGGTTTTTAACCCTGTTTCTGGAAAGCTGCAGTTGTGCAGGTTTTTGTTTTAGCCCAGTACTATAACACCTGATTCAATTAATCAGCTACTCATGGGGACTTGATGATATATGAACCAGGTGTGTTTTTGCTGGGCTTGAAAAAAAGCCTGCACAGTGCACACCCTAAAGCTCTCCTGGACCAGGATAGAGGAATGTTGTTCTACTGTGAGGAACTTCAGGTAACTGCCCAAAAAAAGGAAATGGGGTGTTGGGCCACCACCATGAGCTAGAACAGCTTCAGTGCACCTTGGCATAGATTCTACACGTGTCTGGAACTCTATTGGAGGGATGCGACACCATTCTTCCATGAGAAATTCCATCATTTGGTATATTGTTGATGGTGGTGGAAAAACGCTGTCTCAGGCGCCGCTCCAGAATCTCCCGTAAGTGTTCAATTGGGTTGAGATCTAGTGAGTGAGATGGCTATTACAACTACATTTTAGTCATTTAACAGACTCTCTTATCCAGAGCGACCTACAGGAGCAATTAGGGTTTAGTGCCTTGCTCAAGGGCACATCAACAGATTTTTCACCTAGTCGGCTCAGGGATTCGAACCAGTGACCTTTCGATTGCTGGCTTAATACTCTTAACCACTAAGCTACCTGCCGACTATGGCATATGGTTTACATCGTTTTCATACTCATCGAACCATTCAGTGCCCTGTGGGTGGGGTTATTGTCATCCTATGGGGGCATAGCCATGATAGGCAAAATAATGGCCTGCCCAGCATTTTTATACATGACCCTAAGCATGATGGGATGTTCATTTCGTAATTAACTCATGAACTACACCTGTGTGGAATAACCTGCTTTCAATATACTTTGTATCCCTTATTTACTCAAGTGTTTCCATTATTTTGGCAGTTACCGGGTCAGCCAGATTTTCATATCGTCATACCATTTTTCTCTCATGCTGGGATTTATGGTATTACCAGCAGAGTACACATGGGGGCACCAAAAACGCAAGGAAAGCCTATTGGGAATGCTAACAGAATTTGCATGAACTAATAGCAAAATCACAGACTCTGTTAGCTAAATGCTAATGAGCGAAAACGAACAAAACTAATTGCAAATACAGGCAAATCCAGCTCATAAAATTATACAAGTATAGCTAGTAGCTACCGAAATATCATTTTTGGTGAGTGTGGACATTTACAAGCGAAAGTTACCGAGAGAAATTGTGCAAATAAACTAAATTGTGATGCATGCTTTTCTGAAGGAAGAGCAGCATGTGTACATGGAGCAGAGGGAAGAAGACGGAGGAGGAAAAAACCGCTAGGAGGAAAGCACTGGGGGGAAAATGGCAGCCGTACAGAATCGAGCCCACAGCCATGCAATCTCCATAGACAAACATTGGCAGTAGAATGGCCTTACTGAAGAGCTCAGTGACTTTCAACGTGAAACGTCATAGGATGCCAGCTTTCCAACAAGTCAGTTCGTCAAAATTGTACCCCGCTAGAGCTGCCCCGGTCAACTGTAAGTGCTGTTATTGTGAAGTGGAAACGTCTAGGAGCAACAACGGCTCAGCCGCGTGGTGGTAGGCCACACAAGCTCACAGAATGGGACTGCCGATTGCTGAAGCACGTAGCTCGTAAAAAGTCTGTCCTCGGTTGCAACACTCACTACCGAGTTCCAAATTGCCTCTGGAAGCAACGTCAGCACAAGAACTCTTCGTCGGTATCTTCATGAAATGGGCTTCCATGGCTGAGCAGCCGCACACAAGCCTAAGATCACAATGCGCAATGCCAAGCGTCGGCTGAAGTGGTGTAAAGCTTGCCGCAATTGGACTCTGGAGCAGTGTAAACGCGTTCTCTGGGGTGAGGAATCACTCTTCACCATCTGGCAGTCCAACGGAGGAATCTGGGTTTGGCGGATGCCAGGAGAATGCTACCTGCCCGAATACATAGTGCCAACTGTAATGTTTGGTGGAGAAGGAATAATGGTCTGGGGCTGTTTTTCATGGTTTGGGCAAGGCGCCTTAGTTCCAGTGAAGGGAAATCTTAACGCTACAGCATGCAATGACATTGTAAACGATTCTGTGCTTCCAACTTTGTGGCAACAATTTGGGGAAGGCCCTTTCCTGTTTCAGCATGATAATGTCCCCGTGGACAAAGTGAGGTCCATACAGAAATGGTTTGTCGATCGGTGTGGTCAGCACAGAGCCCTGACCTCAACCCCATCAAACACCTTTTGGGATTATTTGGAACGCCGATTGCGAAGCCAGGCCTAATCACCCAACATGAGTGCCCGACCTCACTAATGCTTTTTGGCTGAATGGAAGCAAGTCCCCGCAGCAATGTTCCAGCATCTAGTGGAAAGCCTTCCCAGAAGAGTGGAGGTGGTTTATAGCAGCAAATGGGGGACCAACTCCATGCCCAGGATTTTGGAATGAGATGTTCGACGAGCAGGTGTTCACATCCTTTTGGTCATGTAGTGTAACTCATCCAGAGCTCTTTGACTTCTGGCTATTATAAGATATCTGATGGCAAATATTTACTAGTGAATTGCATGCAAGTGTAACTTCATCACATCATAGGTGCCGCATAAGAAGAGACTCACCAATAGATATAGAACGCTATGGACTCAGTTCTCACTTTCTCCCGTTGGGCTATTAACAAACACGTGACTGGCTTAAATGTTCAGGGAAACTACTGTAAGCTTCATAATGTAAAATAATGTGACCGGTGAAATGAAGAGCGCAATCTGCTTTATCTCCTAACGTATTGCACTAGTTGACTGCAGGTATTTACTTAAAAAGTAGCTCCAAATATTTATTGAAGAACTTCAAAGAAATATTTCGACTGTATTGAAAAACCATCCGGTGGCTTTTTTTCAAATACCCCGGTATACGGTGTTCAACCCAAGCCTAATGGTCAGGATACTGTGACCCTACTAACGGTACCAGATGGTAGCCTTGAAGTCGTTCAGTGCTGGGATCCTAAATGCTATGAACAACAGGCCTGTTGAGTGATGACACCTTGAGTGATCCATCGACAGAACTACAAATGATGATCTCAACCACAGCCTCTGACAAATATATTAGTCAACAAGATCATGTTTAATGGCATGTATTTTCAATTAAGGATATAGTTACATTCTCCAAGGACTTATTTTCAGTCTACTGTTTGAATTCAGATAACTCTCCATTGTTGAATTCAGTATTTTTTTTAAATATGAGAAACCACATTTCCATCCACAGTTGTTATGCGAGTGAAGTCATACCGTATAAAACAATTATTAATAATCACTACAGCTGTGATGAAAACAGGAAGTTTCAGTACAATTTTATAAATGCTGACAGATCATGTTTGTTCGACATGGTGGGATCTTTTTGTGTCTGTAAAATTAATTATGCGAGAAATGGCAGTGGAAACGCCTTTATGCCAGGGTGCCCGCGGGTCCTTAAAGTCTCTTAAATGAATTTATCTGATTTAAAGGGCTTAAGTCTTAAAATGTTTTCAAAGGTCTTACAAATGTGATGGAGATGACTAAAGCTTTTCCGTTATATTGTGTTGCTGCTTAATTGCTGCCACCATGGCAATTATGATTTTTTTAAACATAAAACAATTCTTGTGTGTGCACGTCATGTGCGAGTCGGGCCGTTGCTAGAGGAGAGAGCAAAGTAACCTATACAATTTGATAGACAATAACACTAACTAGAGCTGGGACAATAAACTGAAAAGCACCGACATTGCCCCCCTCTTACCGAAGTAATTTAGGTGATTAGACATCCCTGCAGATTTGTTAGCTCTAAAACCATTATTTGGTCAACGCTAATGTGCATTAACCTGCTTCCTGCAATGAAAGTATTTGCCCTGTCCCTGTTTCGCTGCTGGCTCTCACTCCCTCTCCTCCTTTTGCGCACGGAATGAAGGGAGAGATCCATCCTGATAAGTGCAGGCATACTGACAGTTGAGCAACATTTCGAAATGTAATTGTGGGAAAGACAGTTTCTAAAACAACTGCAGTTACTGGAGTCTCAGCTTTATGCGAGTATAACTGTAAATATAGAGGGAATAGCTAATCATGGCTACCCGGACTATTTGCATTGTCTCCCCCACCCCACCCCCTCTTTACGCTGCTGCTACTCTGTTTATTATTTATGCATAGTCACTTTAACTCTACCTACATGTACATATTACCTCAACTAACCTGTGCCCCCGCACATTGACTCTGTACGGGTACCCCCTGTATATAGCCTCCCTACTGTTATTTTACTTTACTGCTGCTCTTTAATTATTTTTTAACGTACCTATTTTTTTACTTAACACTTATTTTTCTTACAACTCTATTGTTGTTTAAGGGCTTGTAAGTAAGCATTTCACTGTAAGGTCTACACCTGTTGTATTCGGCGCACGTGGCAAATAAAATTGAATTTGAAATAGCCTACTCCTTTTTATAAAGTGGGGTTATGTAATTGAGATGATGCGCAAGCAGAACGGAGCGGACAGCGCCGTTTGCGCCTAATACATCAAGTAGCCTAGCAACAATATTATATTTAGAGTTAGCAATCTAGCTAATGTTTTTAGAAATTATGTAGCATAGCCTAGGCCAATATGCACAAAAAAACATGCAGACAAATTCATCTCTAAATATTCAGAAAGATATCTGATTATTCTGCACTATATTTTGACATGTTGCACATCAAAACATGTCATGTATTCCCTGAACATGTTAGATGAACTATCTATCTTCTTTCACGTCTTATTTGGCACTGGAAAAAGTCAGTCTAGAGCCCTCCCGCTTAGCTACCTTGCTTTGAAGTATAGCCATGAGATACCTGATACACTGAATGAGGGAATTATTTTATTGTACTTTTTGGTTGTAGGCTAATGTTCTAATGTTATAGCATAATACCTCCAAGAGAGCTACTGGGTGTGTAGACTTTTGTTCCAGCCCTACTCTTAACACACCAGATTCTACGAATGAACTGCTCAACGGGACCTTGTTAATCTGACTCGTGTGTTTGAGCAGGGCTGGATCAAAAGCCTGCATACCCAGTGGCCTAGCTCTCCAGATGGAGAGTTGACCACATGTTTTATACAGTAACAGTGCTGACTTTAAGGATTCTGAACACTTAGTTTGTGATCTAGCCAAACAAATGCAGATAACAACCCCATGCTTCAGCCATCTATAGCCTAGCCACTGTGCTACTACATCCGTGAGGCTACAGGAGAATGCTCATTGCTAAAATGATATGAGCAAAGTAGGCTGTAGCCTTTGAAAGAACCAGCCCTAAAAATACTACTTTTTGCCAACATGGGCTCATTTCTGGAGAGGTATATTAGCAGGTGTGGTGCGCACAGATCTCAAAATTGGTATTCGTTTGCATTCCAATTGGCATTAAAAGGTTTTAAGTCTTAAATTCAACTTCATGGAACTTGCAGAAACCCTGTATGCGCAAGTATTGATAGTATCCATCATATCGAGTCACACGATGATATCGTGTGTGGTCCTCCCACTACGACTCGGGAAAGCATGCAGTTTATTAGGCTACATGCAGATAAAATAACTTATGATGAACTTCACAGGGTGATGTTGATCCTGCTTTCCAATAAATATTGAGGGTCTGATTCTGGTGACATGATTGACGCTTGACTGCCATTTGACAAATATAAATATTCTTGCTCTTATCCATAATAATCTCATGTAGACTAGCTTACCCACACTGTATCTGCGAGCTGTTGGCTAGAGCGCACATGCCAAGACCAGAATAGGCACACTTGCTAATTAATGCAACAGTTTTTGTGACAAAACTATCAGGGTTGAAAACACAATGGAAACACATTGAACTTTATATTTTTATTCAATGCAAAAAAGTACATTGTGTGTGCTACGTCATCACCCACTGATCTTTATCTGCAACAATTCCCTTTGGTGGAAACACCACTGGTGGGAAAATGCACACATTTTCTTTATGCAGATTTTTGCTTGCTAGTGAACTGAAATCCCCCTCTTCCCTCCTTTAGGATGACTTTCTTGTCAGCAAACCAGTGAAGAGCCATCTGGCCAAATACGACAAACAGCTGAAGAGATTCAACATCTCCAAGGCCTTGGATACCGCCCTGGAGGTACAATGACTTTCTTTGTTCCAAATGGATCCCTGATGATCTCGGCAACTCAGACAAATATCTTGATAGTGTTTAAGTTGCTGATTTTTAAGTGTGTGTGTGCACGCAGTCGTGGAGGAAGAACAGAAAGCCTGAGATCACGGTGGCGGTGATGAAGGAGTTGGATCGCCGAGGAACATTGAATAACGCTCTGGCTGGACGAGACGAGCAGAACCTCTCTCAACTCCTCAATTTCCTGATTGGGTAACACTCACTCAAATACCCAATTCCAAATCAGCGCCTACCTACTCCCTAGTGTTTGTTTCCTGTCCATGTGTCTTTTAAAAAAAATGTATTGGTATTTTCTCTTTGAGATAGTCACGAATGACAGGGGTAGACCGATATGAAGGCACAGGCTGGATTTGAACCAATGCTGCAAGGGGCGATGTGTGGTCAGGAGTCTGCAGTACAACCACTACACGAGACTGCGGCACACGTGTTGTGTCTTGACTTTGTTTTATCTTCTCCTTCACAGGAATGTAGTTGATCCCAGGTTTACGCCTGTCCTCGTCACCGCCACTGAGATGATTCTAGGTGAGTTTGTGAAACAAATCTCTCTTTTGTTATTTATTCTGAGTATGTATACAGACCTGCCAACCTGCACACATTTGAGGTCAAAGTAGCTAAGGTGTCATAACAACAAAGGTAGCGTTTAGTCAACTAAGCAAGGACACTTTCTTGCCTCCACATGCTTTGATATCCGCAACGGTAGTATAATATAATATGCCATTTAGCAGACGCTTTTATCCAAAGCGACTTAGTCATGCGTGCATACATTTTTGTGTATGGGTGGTCCCGGGGATTGAACCCACTACCTTGGCGTTACAAGCGCCGTGCTCTACCAGCTGAGCTACAGAGGACCACGGTGCGAGCGCATTGACGAGCAAGGAAACGTGCGGTGTTGCAGTAGTTCATTGCGCGTCGCTGCGTGAATGGAAACGGACATCGCAGAGATGTTCATCTATTACTGTCCTTCGCAGAAAGTAAGACAGTTGTTTCATATTCCAAATAGCCTACAGTACATTGCATCCAGTAATTGAATTATTCTGAATTTTCTCCCCAAACTAAATTAAGCCAGTTTACATTTTCACTGGACTAATTATAAAGACACCTATTAATTAGAATAATCATTACCCCTAAATTTAATCTAGAAAATGTGTCATTGAGACCACCTCAATTTAATTTAGGATCAAACAAGACGTCTGTGTTGGCTACATTATTTGATATCATTTAAGACTCTTGATTTCAGGAAATGACAGTTACAGGATAGTTACAACCCTACCATTCCTACTGAGGCAGTCATCTGCCAAATCATTATTAGGCAAAAAAAGGTGCGTTTGCCTATGATTTGAGCAGTGTGGGTGTCACACGCTTGCCGTTGTGGGGTCTGCAGGGCCAGGGGTGCCGCCGCGCTGAAGTTGTACTCTTAAAAATTCTTTAAGTTTGGCAGATGTGTGTGTCACGTTCTCCTGTCCTCGGTCTCCTCAGACATCTACAAGGCAGTGGTGGGTCAGTCTTCAGTAGTGGACAGACAGCTTGTGCGTCTCCAGGAGCTGGTGGAGAGAGAGATTGACTACCAGCAGGACCTCCTGGAAGTGCTGGGGATGTTGGATACCCTATTCGCCTCATCCCTCCCCAGGAAAGAGGTGCCTTGCCCGGGCAGCAGCCGGCCTAACGGCTTGGCAGAGGGGGGTCTGGGGGCGCCAGGGCCACAGCTCCAGGCCGCCTGAGGCCCCTACAAAAGACTGTTCCACCGGGATGCCTGGGCTGCCCCCGGCACGACTAGTTCCGGAAGCGCTTCTCTGTCTTTGACGGAACATCGTCAGACTCGAGAACCCATGACTACATCCTGCTATCTGAATTTACACCACCAACTGAAAAATGAAACCATTGATTTGAGCAACCAACCTGAGCCTCGTTCCTGCTGGGCTCCCTGGTTTTAACAGAGAGGGTCTTTTAACTGGCTCCAGAGAACGGCCAAAATGGGTTTGACTCTTCAGAGACAGTGTTTTGTAAATGTATACATATCTGTATGTGTGATTTAAATCTCTGTATCTGATTGGACACAAAGCGACAATTAATTTTATTGGAACGCCATAAAATTGTCTTTCACAGCTAATGTTTCTCTAAACATTGACTGTTGTGAGTGTATTCCATTTCTCTTCGCCCTATCTGTCCATGTTTGAGTTTTTATAGAATTTGCATACATTTTCAATGTGCAGTAAATAAAATAAAAAGAAACCTGAAGTAAACTATCAAATTTTGAAAACAAGGCGTCCTGGATCCTCTTTGATAACTCTCACATGCGCACACACAGTATACTGTCCCAATTATCATTCTCTCCTTCCTCCCAAAGTGTGCACTTGTTCACCAAAGATGGTGAATAAACGAAGATGTCTTACTCAGGCTGTTTACCATTGAAGAAAATGGTTACAGTTCCGGTCTGCTTTAAAGGGTAACCCTCAACCCAAATTTCAGCCTTTGCCCAACCCCTTCAAATAGTATTTTAAAAAAAATGCATTCAGGTAAGAAGTTGTGGGTGGGGGGAATCGCTCATAAATATTCATTTTGTGGGTGAGTAAACATTGTACCTGATCCCAACACTTTCACACTAAAGCATACTTACCAGAAGTCCACTGGCATGCTCTGATAATAAAATGATGTGCATCTCTGGGCCTGTCATGCCAAATATTGTCCCCCTGCCAAAAAGTGCCTCCCCCCGCGTCACAATAGGTTTTGAGCCTATGGTTCTAACAATGAATTTAGCCTTCAAATGCCTTTGGAAATCCAGGACAGTTGGCTCACAGTGGTAAAACGTTGAGTTCCTGACATCTATTGCCACTTGCGGTTTAAGTTCGAATCCCCTATGGGGCGTAAAAAATATATTTGAAATGTGGACTCATTTATTGCGGTATTGTTTTGGGAAGAAAAGTGCAATCACCACCTTGAAAATGAAGATTAGGGGCTCAATCCAACCCGCATTGCAGTATTTACGCAGTAGTTATTTTTCCAATGGTCAAATTAACTCACAGATTGGTCTTGGGTACTGTAAAAAAAACTACAACTACTACGCTTGGGCAAGACATGTATAGCTGTAACGGACATTTTTGTGACCTTATTTGACCTTTTCTCCTGCTTTTGAGACACTGTTCGGTCCCACCTTGGGGCACTACTTGTTGAGTAATTAAAACACTAAACAATCACAATACAGTAACTATTTGTCACTATGGATTATTATTCTAATATGTATTCTTATAGAATTGTCAGTTATTAATGATTCATGTTTTTTTACTGCACTCTAGAGAGTTGTATGCCTAGATATCTTAATATATATTTACATATGTACAGATTGTGTGTGCATGTTTTATTTTTTTGGTGTCAGCCACCAATCTCTTATTTTCTGTTTCATAAAAGCTGAGGTCTGGAACTCCCTCCAGGTAATCTCGCTCTCCATTCCTTGGACTTGGTTGCTTGATGACACCCTGAATTTTAATCGCTACATACAGTGAGGGGAAAACAATATTTGATCCCCTGCTGATTTTGTACGTTTGCCCACTGACAAAGAAGTTATCAGTCTATAATTTTAATGGTAGGTTTATTTGTACAGTGAGAGACAGAATAACAACAACAACAAAATCCAGAAAAAAGCATGTCAAAAATGTTATAAATTGATTTGCATTTTAATATATTTCAAATAAACCTACTATTAAAATTATAGACTGATCATTTCTTTGTCAGTGGGCAAACGTACAAAATCAGCAGGGGATCAAATACTTTTTTCCCTCACTGTACGTACATTAATTGTGAAGAACAAATGTCAGTTTGGCTGGAGCGATGTGGATGGGTAGCCAGGGAATGGCCTTGGTACATTAAAAATACTTTTGCAAGACAGTAAACATAATTGCCTGCCACTCTTAGGAACCCTGTACATATGTGAGGGCTGATGGGGCCCTGTTTCAGCTCTAGATGACAACCTGCACACACTCCCAGAGGGTTACAGGTTTCTATTGGTCATTCATTTTAATCAGAGAAGTATCCAATAAACCAAACCGTTGCTTTAACTGTGAATGTACTTTATTGCACACAATCCTCAAATAAAATGAAGCGTACATGAAATAAACAATTAATTTACATTGGGTCTAATGTGTATTTGTAGTTTTGTATTTATTAATGATCCCCATTAGCTACTGCCAAGGCAGCAGCAGCTCTTCCTGGGGTCCTGCAACATTAAGGCAGTTATATACAATTTAAAATATTACATGACATATTTCATAACACTTTACCCAATACATCTAGTGTGTTCCCTCATGCCACTACTCCACTATCACATATTTACAATACAACATCTATGTGAACGTGTGTGTAGAGTGAGTGTCTATATGTATGTGTGTATGTACCCGTGTGTGTGTGTGTGTGTCTCTTCACAGTCCCTGTTGTTCCACAAAAAAAATAATCTGATTCAACTGCTTGCATCAGTTACCTGGTGTGGAATAGAGTTACATGTAGTCATGGCTCTATGTAGTACTGTGTGCCTCCCATAGACCGTTCTGGACTTGGGGACTGTGAAAAGACCTCTGGTGGCATGTCTTGTGGGGTATGGATGGGTGTCCGAGCTGTGTGCCAGTAGTTCAAACAAACACCTCGGTGCATTCAACATGTCAATACCTCTCACAAATACAACTCCCTCTTTGTGACACCTGACAACGCGACTGAACAGTAGTCCAGGTGCGACAAAACTAGGGACTGTAGGACCTGCCTTGTTGATAGTGCTGTTAAGAAGGCAGAGCAGTGCTTTATTATGGACATACTTCTCCCCATTTTAGGTACTGTTGTATCAATATACTTTGACATGACAGTCTACAATCCAAGGTTATTCCAAGCAGTTTAGTCACCTCAACTTGTTCAATTTCCACATTATTCATTACGTGATGTAGTTGAGGTTTAGGGTTTAGTGAATGATTTGACCCAAATACAATGCTTTTAGTTTTGGAAATATTCAGGACTAACTTATTCCTTGCCACCCATTCCGAAACTAACTGCAACTCTTTGTTAAGTGTTGCAGTTATTTCAGTTGCTGTAGTAGCTGACGTGTGTACTGGCTCCCACGGGGAGCCAATATGAAAAAGAAAAAAAAGAATGTATGCACTCACTAACTGTAAGTCGATCTGGATAAGAGTGTCTGCTAAATGACTAAAATGTAAATGTAAAATGTCATCTGCATACATAGACACACTCTAGGCTTTACTCAAACCAGTGGCATGTCGTTAGTAAAGATTGAAAAAAGCAAGGAGCCTAGACAGCTGCCCTGTGGAATTCCTGATTCTACCTGGATTATGTTTGAGAGGCTTCCATTAAAGAACACCCTCTGTGTTCTTTTAGACAAGTAACTCTCTATCCACATTATAGCAGGAGGTGTAAAGCCATAACACATACGTTTTTCCAGCAGCAGACTATGATCGATAAAAAGCCACACTGAAGTCTAACAAAACAGCCCCCACGATCCTTTTATAATCAATTTCTCTCAGCCAATCATCAGTCATTTGTGTAAGTACTGTGCTTGTCCTTTTCTATAAGCATGCTGACAGTTTGTTGTCAATTTGTTTGCAGTAAAATAGCATTGTATCTGGTCAAACACCATTTTTTCCAATAGTTTACTAAGGGTTGGTAACAAGGCTAATTGGTCGGCTGTTTTAGCCAGTAAAGGGGGCTTTACTATTCTTAGGTAGCGGAATGACTTTTGCTTCCCTCCAAGCCTGGGGGCACACACATTCTAGTGGGCTTAAATTGAAAATATGGCAAATAGGAGTGGCAATATCGTCCGCTATTATCCTCAGCAATTTTCCATCCAAGTTGTCAGACCCCGGTGGCTTGTCATTGTCAATGGACAACAATCATTTGTTCACCTCTTCCACACTCACTTTACGGAATTCAAAATTACAATGCTTGTCTTTCATAATTTGGTCAGATATACTTGGATGTGTAGTGTCAGCAATTGTTGCTGGCATGTCATGCCTAAATTTGCTAATCTTGCCAATGAAAAAATTATGAAAGTAGTTTGCATTATCAGTTGGTTTTGTGATGAATGAACCATCTGATTCATTTAAGGTGCTCCACAGCTTTTTACTATCATTTATCCTTGTTTCATAGTGTTGTTTCTTCTTTTTATTTAGTTTAGTCACATGATTTCTCAATTTGCAATATGTTTGCCAGTCGGTTGTGCAGCCAGACTTATTTGCCATTCCTTTTGCCTCATCCCTCTCAACCATACCATTTTTCAATTCCTCATCAATCCATGGGGATTTAACAGTTTTTGCAGTCATTTTCTTAATGGGTGCATGCTTATTAGTAACTGGAGTAAGCAATTTCATAAATGTGTCAAGTGCAGTGTCTGTTTGCTCCTCATTACACACCACGGACCAACATATATTCTTTACATCAACAACATAGGAATCACTACCAAACTTATTGTATGACCTCTTATACACAATATTAGGCCCAGCCTTTGGAACTTTGGTTTTCCTAGATATGGCTACTATATTGTGATCACTACAGTGATCAAGGCAAAGGGTGGCTACTTTGAAGAATCTCAAATATAAAATACATTTAGATTTGTTTAACACTTTTTTTGGTTAATACATGATTCCATATGTGTTATTTCATAGTTTTGATGTCTTCACTATTATTCTACAATGTAGAAAATAGTAAAAATAAAGAAAAACCCTGGAATGAGTAGTTGTGTCCAAACCTTTCACTGGTACTGTATGTGATAATTGCTTGTATCACCTGTCGCGGCCGGTGTAGCAGGTGCAGGGGCAGACGACTGCAGCTGTGAGGGCTGTGGTTGAGCTAATAGGGGTGTCAGATCTAAAAGAGACAGGCACAATTTTCTTCAGTGAAAATAGGGATACATCAAAACTGAGTGTGTATACATATGTGTGATAATTACCTGGACCACATCACACTGCTTCAGGTCTACAAGCCTCTGGAAGTTACAGTGTGCCAGGCTCACACACTGAGCCTGGTTGGCAGATCTGAAAGATATGCACAATATTATTTTAATGACAAAGCCTCGACTACACACTAACCTAATCACACTAACACTGTGATTATTATTTGACCCTGCTGGTCATCTATGAACATTTAAATGTCTTGAAGAACGATCTAGCCATTATTGCTGTACTCTTTTATAATATCCACCAGCACAGCCAGATGAAGACTGGCCACCTCTCGGTGCCTGGCTCCTCTACGTTTCTTTCTAGGTTCCTGCCTTTCTAGGGAGTTTTTCCTAGCAACTGATTCTATTTCTGCATTTCTTGCTCTTTTGGGTTTCAGGCTGGGTATCTGTATAAGCACTTTGTGAC